TTTAGCCCCGAAGTGCGCACAAAGCGCGTGCTCGCGTCGCTGCTGCTGATCTTTGCGCTCATTTTGCTCGTCATTGGCGCTGTCGCGTCCATTTTTGTGTTTCGCATCTTTGCCGAGCGCGGCCGCCCGCTGTACGAGTACACGACGCTCAATATGAACGGCAAGGACGTGCCGCTCGCGTCGCCGATTGCGTCGACGCTCAACGCAAGTAGGTTTTTTCTGCATTTTTGAGTTTTTTCGCTCATACGATTGGATTTTCTCTAGTTCAGATTCAGGTCATGAACGGCATCTACACGACGATCGCGGTGCGCCTCAACAACTATGGTAATCCTCTGCTCATGGGAGAGAATCTGAATCTGAATGTTAGAAAACCACCGCACCGACACGGAATATGAAGACAACTTGATCGCCAAGACGTTCCTCTTTCAGTTTGTCAACTCGTACGCGAGTCTGTTCTACATCGCCTTTATCAAGAGCACTGTCGACGTGTGCACGGACCCCAAGGCCGGCGGCTGCATCTACGATCTCATGGTCGCGCTCGGCATCATTTTCTGCCTTCGTCTCACGTACGCGCTTCGATGCCTTTGCGATAGTCTCAAACCATCACTGACGACTAGGTCGGGCAACTTTTTCGAAGCCGTGTTGCCGTACCTCAAGCGCCGGCTGCGTGGCAAGTGCTCCAAGCCGGCGACGCCCGACGACGGCGAGACGCGCGCCATGTCGATCGTCGAAGATCAAATGACGCTCGGCGTCTACGACGACATGGGTGTCTTTGGCGACTACAACGAAATGATCATCCAATACGGGTATGCGACACACACGTGTCTACAGATCCAATGACAATATTGGTGTCTTGTAAATAGGTACATCACGCTCTTTGTCATCTCGTTTCCGCTCGCACCGTTCCTCGCGCTGCTCAACAACTACTTTGAGATTCGAATCGATGCGTTCAAACTCGCAAAGGAGTCGCGCCGCCCGGATCCCAAAGGCGCCGAAGACATTGGCACGTGGATGACGATCCTCGAGATCATGAGCACGATCGCCGTCATCACCAACGTGGCCGCCGCCGTCTTTACGTCCAACACAACGTTCAGCGGCGTCTCGGGCGACATCAAGATGCTTGCGTTCGTCGGCCTTGAGCACGGTGTGCTGCTCGTCAAGTACTTTCTCGCGCTCCTCGTCGACGATGTGCCCGAAGATGTCCAGTTGCAGCTCGATCGCTCCAAGTACGCCTTGGTTTCGTGTTGCGATTCATTTTGAGATTTTCGTGTTTTAGGTTCCTCGTCAACAAGGTTGTCTTCCAGATCCAAGACGACGACGACGACGATCTCGTCAAGGGCAACAAGATCAAGGTCGACTTGACCGTCTATGACGACGACGAGTAATCTCTGCCCCTGTGTTGGCCACGCGGTTGATGTGTCGTTGAATACATTTCATTTTTGCAGCGTGCGTCTTTTCTTGCTTCTGTGTTGGTGCAGAGACGACGCGGGGGATCTTGTGGTTGTGCCTCTAGGTCTCTAGGTACTAGGCTAGCTATATTTCGTCGTGGAACACTCGACGCAGTGGTCCTACTTGTGGTTACCTAGTCGGCTTCGGTGCTAGCCAAGCTCTCGTTGGTGCTCGGGACGGCCTAACCCACGTTTTGTTCGGATCGAACAATTCGAATCGATCTTTAGAGATCCTTGAACCGACCGCATCTTGACTTTTCCCATGGCCGTCGAGCTCGTCGAGAACCCCAAGGCGGCGATCACGGCGTCCGACACCAAGACGCTGCACGTGACGAGCGATGTGTTTGAGCAAAAGCACGGCTATAGCTACGACTATGTCTTTGTCTTCAAGGTCCACGACCAGGACGCGACCTTATCGGCGGCCCAAACCACCCACTCGATGCGCGTGATCCTCCAGCGCCTCGCGTCCGCCGGCCTCGAGACCAAGCTCTTTTACTCGACCAAGCGCGACCTAGTGTTTTGCAAGGTACGTAGTTTCCTAATTTCGTAGGCACGAAACATCATATTCGTCGACAGATCCGCGCGGCCCTCGAGCGGCTCTGCAAGGAGGCCGACCGCATTGACCTCAAGCTGGAGTTTGACCCCAAGCACCTCAAGGCGTTGGCAGAAGCCGGCAACCCCAGCCACGGCATTGCCCCCATCATCATTGCCGAAGAGAGCCACCAGACAAAGCGCAGTCCGTACCAAAACATCTTTGGCAAGGTAGGACGACACTCTGTCTTGGTTCAAAACGAACAACATTGTCTAGTACGACATGGACGAGCGGCTCCAGAAGGTCTACAAGCGCTATGGCCCCAAGCGCATTCCATTTCGCGGCGTCGACCGCATCAAGCTCATTCGGAGCATCATTGACGCCAGCACGAATGACGGCGGGTGCGGCCTCAACACGCAGCGGCTCGTGCTCGACAAGTGTGTCTGGACGGCGTACGCGCTGCACGACTTTGACGAGCGCGAGAAGCTCAACGCCAAGTGGATCAACTGGTATAGTTTGACAAGTGCATTGGATGTCCACACGCTAGTATTGGGTAGGACGACACGGCCGTCGCAACAACCCTTCCGTGAGATCAAAGACTATTACGGCGAAAAAGTCGGCCTCTACTTTGCCTGGCTCGGTACAACCTCGTTTTCAACTTGAAACATTGAAACATTGAAACATTGATTGAAAAATTGGCGCAGGACACTACACGTCGTGGCTCGT